CATATATATATATAACTATTTTAAATTATTAATAAAGATATAAGCAAGGCCTTACTTTAATACCAAAAAAAAAAAAAAACTAATACATAGTATTGATCTTTTGATGAATAAACCAAATTATTATTTTTTGTAAAAAAGAAAACAAACAAAAATCTAAAAAGTGTATTTTATTGTTGCAAGCATCCAAATTAAGAAAACTTTTTCTAATTGTTTTTTTTTACTTCTGTTTCTAATATTTTTAATTAGAGAACTACTTTTATTTCTATTTATTTTTAAAATATTTTTTTAGTTTAAATATTAAATATATAAGATAGTTTATCAGACAAAAAGCTTAATCCAAGATAAAAATTATTCAAGTTTTATTTACTTCTTGGTGTTTCATATACTTAAGCTTTGTTAACAATAAGTTTATTTAATATAAAACCAAGAATATTAATTACTTTAAAATCAAAATCTTTAATTTACTTTTATACAAACTTGGTTCAGATGATTATTAGAAAGAGTTTTGTTAGAAAAAATTTTTGATAAGAATTTAATTTAAATAATTATTAAAAAGAATTGTATAATTATCTAACTATATAAAAAATTTTATTTTTTTAAATATTAATAGTAAAACCATGCTTATATAAAGAATTTTATTTTATTAATAGTTTGTATAAAAATTTTTCTTTATTTGTATACTAGTGCATAAAAAACAGTATCTATTTAACTTAAAATCTTACTAATAAAACATCTTTCAGAACTTTAACAAAAAAAAGCACTATATAAATTTTATTCTAACCCAAATCTTAAACACTAATTTTAATTTAGCATTAAGCAGATTTACAAATCAATTATTATAAAATGCATCTATAATGTTTTGCACCTATTATATGTTTATATTATGTTTTTTAAAATTTTAAAGTTTTTATAAATTTTTACAATAGGATTAGTCTTTATATTAGTATTAGGATTTGGGAAGGGTTTTAGGAGTATAGAACATTGTTACTTAGAACACCTTGTATTGCTTGATTAGCCAGTTTTTGAGATAATGCATGCATAAGTGTTTTAGTAAAATCCTTTACAAATTGTGTTTAGAAATTTTCTAAAAAAAAAATAATTGCAAATTTTACAACTAAATAGAACCAGTTACCAAAATATCCTAACTTAAAAAGATTTGGCAGTAATATATTTTCAAAAATTATTTATATAAAGCAAAATAATAAAATTAAATCGTTTTTTTTTATTTAATATATATATTTAATAATCATAATAATAGGTAAATATTAACGGTCTTAACAAATTTCAATCTCAAAAACAGTTAATTCGCCCCACTCTCCAAATTAAAGAGCTTCCGTTTTATAAGAGCCTTATGTGGAATAAATTTAGACAATTAGATTCATGTCGATTTCTATAAATTGTCTATAAAATGTAAAATAAATTTACCTTATTCATGGGAAATTCTTTTGTCTAAAGACCAAGATTGGTTCTCGAAAAGCCAAGATTCCACAGTCTTTAATAACTCATCTTCTCGTTCATTAAATGAATGGTTAGCACCTTCCATTACTATAAGTTTATGGTGAGGTTCAGGGCCGATTAATTTGTCGTAGATGTAAGCACCATCAACGGGACAAATTTCATCATTCGAGCCATGAATAGTCAAAACTCTCACTTTTTCCTTATTAATATTTTTTACGCAAGACATGTCTATTTTCTCTCTCTCTCTCAAATCTTTTTCCCGAACAATATAATCCCTTAATCCACTACTCAAAACAAAATAACCATCTTTTTTCAATTTTTCAAGCTTATCAGAGAAGAATATTTGAACATAGTCAGGGCTTGCATAATCATATCTAGCGGCAATGTTGATGACCAATGGAACATCGTTGTATTTTGACGCATATAGAAGGACAACAGCAGCACCTTTACTATGACCACATATGCCAAGGATTCCGCGTTCCAATGTTGAACGTACGTAAGAAATAACACAATGAAGGTTTTCCGCTTCTTCGTCAAGATTTCCAATAGTTGTTGATCCACCACTTTCACCATTTCCTTGAAAATCAAAGGAAACTACGTGATATTTTAAAGTTTCAGCAATATATCGGACGGGTTCTGCGTACCTTGAACCTCTAAGGCCATGACATATTATAATTACAGCATCGCTTTGAGCATCAGATTTCAGGTATAATGTACCGTGAAGTGCGAAACCTTTCCCAGTGTCTACTTTTAAAGGAATTTTACTCATGTTGCAGTTATTAAAAGATTTACCCTATTTTCTTTATAATTACCTCTCTATTGGGAATAATGGATATGACATTTATAATTGTCAGTGATGAAGACAGCAATAATTAGATACACTTTATAAATAGAAAGGTAAGCTCTGCGTTCATTTAAAGGGAAAGCTTTTCTTTAAGTAATAAATCTTATCGCTAACATTTAACATAAATTATTCTAATTTACTCAATCGTGGTTACTAAGATTCATTTGGTATTCATAAATGTGTACGTAAACACTTTTGTTCAAGTATCAAATTTATTCATACTTACAATGCGTTGAGGTCTGTAGATGGTTTTTGTGGTCTGCCGAAATATGTGACTTTCGTAGAAGTTAATGAAAAATAAAGTTGATAACGAATTATATGATTCCACGAATTTGTCGTTATCTAAATATCACACAAATTATATTATGCCTTTATTTGGTAGCCGATTCATAGATATCGACATATCAATCTCTTGCTTTTAGATGAAAAGTCAAGATTCCTGGCGTATGTCATATGATTGTCACTCAGATGGAATGGAGTCACAAGCGGAGGTTCGTCTGATTGGCTAATAAATTTAATTTAAGTTTACGCTATTTATACAGTTTAGAGTACTTTTTTTAAAAAACGAAAACTACCCATAATAAAGTAAAAAAAAAAACTATATAGAAGGTTTCATTAGAGTTGTAGGATCTTATAGTCAAAAGATCTAATTCTTATCCGTTTAAATAGATCTGTAAGCAGTTTAGTTGTCAAAATGTTGTTTAATTTATTCTTTAATAAGTTTAGGATCTGTTATAAT